CTTTGAATTCTTTTTAGTAATATCAAAGGATATACTTTAGATTTTTGAACTAGTAGAGAATGTTGTTCCTGATTTTCTTTTATAGTTTCTTTTTATATCCCATTACTTTATACTCTATAGTCTTTTGATAAAAATATAACCTCATTGTTTTTACTTTTTAGCTTTTATCCTTTGTTTAAATTATAAGGTTACTGGATGTTTGTAATTTCTTTAATAAAAAACCAGAATGCCTTAGCTATAGCCTTTAGACCCAAGCTTTAATAGGTTAGGGTTCTAAAAAGTTGCCTGGTGATTCACATTGGCAGTGATGAATGTTGCGTGCTTGCAGTAAATATATGAGGATTTTCCATCAACATACATGCTTGTGGGCCTCAGGAAAACTCAGGGCTCTTGACTCCCATGTCCCCCTTAGCAGAAAACTAAGGGGGATGTTGCGTGCTTGCAGTAAATATAGGAAATATATAATTAGTATATTTATAATGTGTTTCCTATATCGATATATAATTAAAGGAGTTGGAGTTGGAGGTACCATGAATAAAGGAGTCGGAGTTGAAGGTTTTATGTGCCGACTCCACAGCCCTGATGTTAGGGCCAGGTTCTGACAGGATTCAAATTAAGTGGTTGTAACATCAAAGTTGTTGATGCTAAAGATCTCCACAAGCCTGGCTCTTAGATGCTCTCAATGTGGCTTCTAAAGAGTGTGCAGCAAATCCTTGGAGGACCAGCTTCTCCTAAGACTAGGTCTCCTATAGCAGGATTAGATCATATGAAAGAATTAGGTCCAGGAAAGAAGGGTTGTCCATCTTGGCCTTCCACCTATCAATATTCCAGGAAACCAAGGATAGTCCCTTAGAATTTGTTTTCAGTCAGTCTGTGGAGTGTCTGAGTGGCTAAGCTGCCATTTCTATAGTAGATGGATCTCCTTGCACAGTAGGAAGATAGAGTAAAGGTGGGTCAACAGTGTCTGTGGCTCCTGATAGATACTGATCAGCTTGTAGGAACTTAGTAACTCTAGACCAGATGTTAACTTTCTGGAGTTTTCTGCTAAGGGGGACATGGGAGTCAAGAGCCCTGAGTTTTCCTGAGGCCCACAAGCATGTATGTTGATGGAAAATCCTCTCTGTATAGCTCTTCTGGGAGATTAATGGGGCTCAGAGGGAAATCAAAACTATGCTTTCTGTAACTAACTTCTGACAATGAAGAGGCCGCTGTCAGCCTTGCAAGGCAGGCCAGACAAGAAGCACACCCAGATGAACTAATTCTATTTTATTGTAAGGTTATATTAACAGAATCTTGCAAGTCTGAAAGTACATTTCTCCCCTGTCACCTTTACAGCCCAAGAAACTAGGGAGGTCCCTTCTGAGACATTTGTCACATCCACATTTCTTCCGTGGGCTAAGCTGCCTCTTATCCAACCGTTCCCCTGGCTGTGGCTCTTCCCCCTGTCTCCCAAGGTCATTCCCACATGCCATTAGATCTAGAGAGATGGTAGTAATCAGTTGAGCCTGTGCTCTGGGGCAATCTGAAGTAGTCTGTCTCATAGAGGAGGTGCTGCCTTTAGACTGTATCAACTCTTCTGGGAGGCTTGAAAGCTGCTTATAGATATAAATAGACTTATGGTTCTCTCTGAGGTGTGAGAGATGTACAAGAGGTTGTGCTGTCTCATGAATTAAGTTTGAGCCTGAGGTAGTCCTTCAGTTCTAGAGTGTAATTTCCTCTGCCTGTCTTAAGGAATGTTGAGTTGAGTTGAACTGTGAACTTTGGTCCTCATTGTCCTGGCAGGCACTTCTTGATAAGTTGGAGTTAATGGTCTGTTTATAATATCCTTGTTGTCAGGAGACTTCTGATATTAGGTAGGAATGTTGGCTGTTAGGAAGTCATTTAATCTTCAACTGTTTGGCAGCCTTCACTTGCTTCAGAGTCTCAGGGCTAGATCTATGTCTCTTCTTGCCCATCTCAGTATAGGAGATATACAGTCTCTTCTAATAACTGAATAACTAAGCAGTAAGAGGAGTTACTGACTAGGCTTCTAAGCTGTTGCCATCTTAGGGGGAAAAACATCTTGGAGGAAAAAAAATAGTAAGTGGTGACACTTCTATAAATATTTTTTTCTGATAAAAGTGATTTCTTTTCCCCTTTCATATTTGTATGCGTTGTAAAGTACTTCCAAAATTAATTATGTTTCCTGGAGTGCCCTGGTAGTAATTAATAATAGCTTGATGCTTCAGCAGATGTGGAGATTATATAGTGCATTCAGGTTTCTTACTGTACTTCTTAGAGATGTTCTATAATGAAAGTCAGTTAATTGCACTTAAATCCTATTGACTCCAATAAGATTTAAATTAATTTAATTAAAGGGTGAATAATCTAATCTGTATTTCAGTATGCATCTCACGTTATTTTCTGAGTTATCCATTCTTTGGTGAAAGAGTTTCTTTTTCTTTTATTTATTTTAGATCTGCACAATGAGTTTGATAACAAAGTAATTATCTTTGAGTTATTTGCCTGAATAGGCAGAGGGATGGCAATACCGGAAGTACAGCAAGCAACTAATCTTTGGGGTGTGCCATCTTAATAAACTCTTCTCCCTTTATTATACCAAGCATCTCATTTTGAATCAGAAAAGACATGTATAGTAACTCTAACAGATAACTATAGGATAATGAATTATTGGATTACAACCTATGCCTTTTAGTCATTTGTTAATTATAGATTCACTATAGTGCAGCCAAGAAGTTCAGTGAATAATTAGTACCACTAATCACTTTCTCTATCTGCTCTCAAACCCAATTGGGTAATTTCACCTGTCATCACCTGATAGTAATGAACTGAAGGCTGATATACAAGAGGATGAGGATGCAAAAACAGTTAATATTAACTATAATTAGTTAATTGTAGAAGCAGTGCTGGGGCAGTTTGCTTCTTTTCTCTTTATAAAGCTGAACTAATGTTGTTTTCCCCTGATATTAAATGATCTCTTGTTCAGTGATCTTGTTTATAGAACCATCATTTTATCAGGAATTTACTTTTCTCCATTAAAATAAATGATTCATTAATCAGATGTTTACATTTAATTAGTACCAGCCTTATATTAATACAAGTGTATGAATCTTGTTTTCTTATTTCAGGAACAGTTCATGTGTGGCGAAGAAGTCTCACCACTTACAGCAAACAAAGAACTAGTTAAATGCTGATGGTCAATTCAGTAAATGTCGCTCTTCTTAAAAAATGTGGCAACAATTGGACAGAAAGGACACCTGTTCTGAAGACTCCATGCTTGTAGTAATTTATTGCTTAGCAGCAGCTGCTTCAGTTCAAAAGAGAATTGATGTGGTGAAAAAACTGTCTACGTGTGCATAAGAAACTGTTGATATTTGAAAGTATTGAATAATTTATCAAATTTAAGACTGAAAATGAAGATGGTGGATATGCACATAGGTATCATGAATCCTTTTTGAATGCTTCCACTGATCCTGGACTCTGATTCTTCTGGCAATACGCAGAATATAAACTACTGGGTTTTGTGTTTTAAAAAAGAAAGACTGTAGCTTTTTTTAAAAAAAGAGGGAGACAGTAATTACAAAACTTCAAATTCAGGTTTATAATAGGCACCATCCCTCAATCAACTGGGGCCAAAGGCTTGCTGAAAAACACAGCTTGTAGTTGTTTATGGGAGACTACTAGGTAGGAGCCATGATGTCTCAGGATAGTGGGAGGATGTTCCAAAGAGTGAGGGCTACCATGGAGAAGGTTCGCTGTCTAATCCATCCCCCACATATTTCTCCCATATGAGAGCATGATATTCTCAGCAGGCCTTCTATGGATAACTGTCATGCCTCACACAACTGGGCAAGATTAAGGAAGCAAGAACTATAAGACTTCAGTAAGGTATTAATGTGAATCTTGGGGTAAATACAGAATTTTGGAAACAATAAAAGGAATCTCTCACCCTCATTTTTTTGAATTCATTAAGGTGGAATCTTTGAATTATTTGAAATGCCTTTTCTCAGGTTTCTTGCTATCTCAGCTGAGTTGCTGTTTATAAAATAAGCTGTCAAGAGACTCACCCTCTGTCTCTTGATTGTTTATGCCTACTCTCCCTTCCCTAACTTTCCCAGCCTCCTCACAATCTCTTACAATAACCAGGCTGAGCAGGCAAATTCAATTTTAACAAGCCATTACCTGATTTATCCCAATGCTGCACTGTGAAGGGCTTTAATAGTAATAACCAGCACTCTGACTTGAGCCAAGAATCCCACTGGTAACCAATGCAGCAGTATTAAAATGGTGTTATCTGAGATAGCCATGTACCATCTGTAGCTTCTATATTGTCTCCAAAGGGAGCCCCACACAGATCATATTGCAGGAGTCCAGTTGTAATTGGGTTGAGTTACTGATGTCAAGGCATTCTGGTCATTTAGGGTTGTAAACACTAGCTCCCAGCCATAGCATTCACCTGCTGCTTGAATCAAGGATGACCACAGGTCACGAACCATCCTTTTGAGGAGGAGCATAACACCTTCAGAATCACTCCCAGGGCTAATGTTATCAGATTCCCCAGATGTTCACTCATGACTAGTAACTCTGTCTTGTAGGATTTAATCTGAGCTTGTTTCTCTCATCCAGATTTTTACAGTTTCCAGACATGTTCAGGACATCCATGGCATCTCCAACTCATCCTGGGGTGTATAATTGAGTGTGATCAGAGTACTGATGACAATTGACCCTGAACTGACAGATATTTCCC